CCCCCCGCCCCGCGAGCCTCCGCAGCGCCACGGGGCCGCTCCCAGCTCGTTTCCACTCCTCTTTCTCTTGGGTTAAGGAGGTTTTAAGCAGGAATCTGATTTTTTGTAGCACTGCCCCCTCCAGCTCCTCCAGCCTCCCAGCGAACGCCGGCAACGCCAGCTTGGCAAGGGGGCAGAAGTCACCCCTCATTTTGGGGGCAGAAAAGTGGCTTCTGGGTGTGCCAGCCCTGGCACGCGTGCGACCGCGTCCCGAGGTCAAGTGGGGTGGGCAGCAAGGACCCTCCACACCTGGCCACGAGGTCTCCTCCCAGCCCTCCTGCCTCCCCGGGCTCCTGGGGGAGTGGCAGATGCTTCTCCATGCCGAGAAGCTCCATCCCAGGGAACTCCCCAGCGCACCTGCCTCCCCGGGCTCCTGGGGGAGTGGCAGATGCTTCTCCGTGCCGAGAAGCTCCATCCCAGGGACCTCCCCAGCGCACAGTGGGAAACAAAATGCGGCTCCCTCATCCCCGGGCTAAGCGGCTTCACCCACCTACCTTGACCAGGGGATCCAGCTCCTCCCTAGCAGGGCTTTTACAGCACTTCCTTATCCCTGAGCAGACACAAAGGACGGGATTCATCTGACTAACTGGTGACACGACAGCCCAGCTCGCCCCTGTCCCCCGGCAGCGCGGAGCGGGCGGCTCTCGCCCCGCAGGACGAGTCGCTCGGGGCCCTGGGGAGGGTCCCCTCAATCCTCTCCGCTGGCTGCAGCGATGGAATCCCACCAGAGGCTGCCCAAGGGGCTCCACCAGGACAGCTCTCCACGGCCTCCTAGAGCCGGCCTGTCTGGCACTGGTGAGAGCTTCCACTGCTCTTGCTCTCAGAAGCCCCGCCTCTGATACCTACACCAGTGTCCCCAGGGGACTCGGGGACACCCAGAACAATCACGCTTCATTGAGAAGCTGCAGAGGTTTAGGTCACCAAGACACAAGGAACCAGAAGGGACAGTGAAGCTACGAGGGAAATGGAGTCCAGGAACCAAAGAAACCTGAACAAAGTCATGGGATTTAACTGGAAATGTCTCCCCCAGGCCTCAACTGGAGGGTGGTGACGCTCCGCGCGCAGCTCCGCGGCACAGCGCCACTCACCTTTCTCTGAATCTCTTCCTTCCTCATCCTCCCCTTCCTAAAAATGCAACGTCGGGAAGTTAACACCCCACTGCAGAGGTCTGGAGGCTGGTTTAACACCCTGGCCCCCCGAAACCCTCCCGGGGCCCTCGGAGCACCAACATCTGCACCGGATGGGGCCGCGCTCCGACACGATGCCGGCGGGGCTCAGACCCCAGCGCCCCTTCTCCACTCCCAGGGGTGTTTTGCTGCATTTCCACCCCGTGAAACACCTCACGGCGAGGTTGGGGTTGGGGGGTGGAGCTGGGGGGCGTCCATGCTTCCCT